GTCATAACCATACCCCAAACCCTGAACCCGGAACCCGGAATGACTAAACTTCAACCAACCCTAAACCCTAAACCCTAAACCCCTGAACCCTAAACCCTAAACCCTAAACTCGAAACCCTAAATCCCTAAAACCCCTAAACCCCAACCCCTAAACCCCTAAATCCGAAACCCTAAACCCCTAAACCCTAAACCCTAAACCCTAAAACCCCTAAACCCCTAAATCCTAACCCCCGAAACCCTAGACCATAAACCCCGAAACCCTAAACCGTTAAACCCTAAACCCTAAACCCCAACCCCTAAACCCTAAACCCTAAACCTCTAAAACCCCTAAACCCTAAACCTTTAAAACCCCCAAACCCCTAAACCCGAAAACCCCTAAAACCCTAAACCCTAAACCCCTAAACCCGAAACCCTAAACCCCTAAACCCTAAACCTTTAAAACCCCTAAAACCCCCTAAACCCTAAACCTCTAAAAACCCCGTAGCAGGTCCCAGCGGCTCTCGGTTCGCTGCATGGAGATTTCCCTGAGCTGCGGCCTTCGGAACGCCATCTTCAGCTGACGGCCTGGTCCGGGCGGTTCCTTTAAAGGGACCTATAAGGGTTTAGGGTTTAGGGCTTGGGGTTTAGGGTTTAGGGTTTAGGGCTTGGGGTTTAGGGTTTAGGGTCTAGGGTTCCTTTAAAGGCTCCTGTCAGGGTTCCTTTGAAAGGGTTTGGGGTTTAAACGTTTAGGGTTTTGGTTCGGGTTTGAGGTTTAGGGTTTCGAGTTCAGGGACGAATCGGGGTTGATAAGGGTTCTATGAGGTTTCGGAGTTAGGGCCTTAGGGTTAGGGTTTAGCGACTAGTTCAGGGTCTAGGATTTAGGGTTTAGGGCCAGGGTTTAGGGACGATTCGGATTTCACAAGTTTTCTACATCAGCAGAACAAAGGTTTCGACCTGCTGAACCTTTCTTGTCTTGAAACGTCTTGCGAAGTAACGAATACCGATAAGTGTGATTCACGTGGCCTGGCCAGCGGAGTATTTTATACCCCGTTTTGGAATTATACTACTTTAATGTTCCGGAGGAGTACCCGGGCGGTCCTGTTGTTAGGATTCTACGGGGGAAAGGGGGCCTCTATATTCTATATTATCCCAAAAAGAC